GTTTACAACTACAGTGTGCCAATCACTCATAATTCCTAAACATGTCAATCAGGTAGGAATGAAGACATTAATAGAAATAAAGAGTTGTATGTTGACATGTAGCCCTTTCCTTGCTTAAATCATTAATATTTTTGAAAAATTAATCTGTGATAAGACATAGCTTATCAAAATAGAACCATGTAACTAAAGATGAACCAAACTGTTCACAGTTTTATCTAACTCTGTTTTAATAAAGGCTGGTGACCCCTGTTATAGAGTCTGACAGCTGCAGGGGTTATATACAAATATTCAACTATACCAGAATTAAACCAGGTCTAAATAAAAAGGAGTGAGTATCACTACAAAGGTTAACTCAGTGGTCCTAATGCTACAGTTTGATATCAGCAAACACCGAGCGCATAAATTGATGTGACACCACAGCCATGCTATCAATGCAAACACTGATAACAGCATAAATTGAATTAAATCAGGACTTGATGAGACCTTCTGAGTATCACTAGAAATATTATAAACAGTCATCTCCGTACCACAGTTTGCTATCAGTAAACACCGACGGCATTCATTGATAGCATAGCACATCCATGTTAGCAGTCTATAAGCAATAGTTCAGCATATTAGCACAGGTATCAATAAAGGACTACCGTATACGGTAGTTGTTTAGTAACTACTAACCTTAGTAACTAACTAACCTCAGGCAGACGGACAGGCGCTCTGCAGGTGGGATTGAGCGCCTGTAGTTGGTGTCTAGGCGGGCGATGCTTGGACCAACGCGGGACAGCAGGTCCTCAAACTGGGCGAGGGAAAGTGAATGGAGAAGGGAGACTCTCTCTTCAAACGCTAGCTCGACAGCTGCCATCTAGCAAAGGTACCGGTCTGGCACAACTTCCTCCCACATCCCTCCCACATTTCCAATGCAATTTTGAGGCGCGATGGATTTTTCTTGGACACGCGTAGAGGTGCAAATGTGCACGCGTCAAATTAGGGGCGTTTGAGGCGTTTTGTTCGCGTCCATCGTGTTCGGTGTGAACACACCGTCATAGCTCACGCTTATAGCCTATAAGCTAACAGCTAGCCTGGTTAATGACACTAGAGTTCAACGCACATGCAAACAGCTCGTCTCTACTTCTTTAACTGTTAAAACAGAAGGCAATACTGCGGGTGATTTTGTTTTTCAGCAAGAGTTAGTAAAAAACATCTCTAGTATAATCAAATCTACTTGCTAAACATCCGCAGCTTGGCAGTGTATACAGCACTATAATGACCAGACCTAATTATTTTGGAAACCATACCTCTTTCCACAGGTCTCAACTTCATCAGACATCACCTAGACTCAGAGCTGGATGAGTCCAGCGCAAACAGCAGCCTAACCGACTAAGATAAATGGATCCATGGGCTCAGGAAAGCCAGAAGCAGGGGAGCTGGAGAGGTACCTTTCATGTCCATTCACTGGAGGTGTGGATCTATTGCATGGCTTTCCCCACATCAAGAAGCTGTCAATCAAAATCTGTACAGCTCTTCCTGCATCTGGAGCTTGTGAAGGACTTCTTAGTCATGCAGGACTCCTGTTCACTGCTAAACAGTTACAGCTTCACAGAAAGAACCTTAACCATCACTTCACTGTGTGAAGAAATGGCACATTTTTGCTAAATATGCAGAAATAAATGCACACTTATAC